TTAATAATTTCAGTCTCAGGATTGTTTGTTGGTCTCCAACCCCCTCCCCGTACACAGGTAAAATAAAGTGCACCTAGCACAGAAGAAAACTGAGTATGTTGATTAAAATTTAAGTATGAAATGATAGTAAAGAACAGTAGCTACACTGACCTCCTCTGTAGTTCATTTTAAATATCCCAATACTGTTCACTGTTTACTGTTGTTTCACCTGACAATTAAGCCCCAGCATTGGTTAGCTGCTGCAACCACACTTATTTGCATCCAACAAGCATTCTGCACCAAAAGTTGGTTTTAAAAAATATTCCTTGGTAAATATTCAGTGAAAGAAAATGTGAGAACCACACAGAAAATGAAAACAGGCCAGCTTTCCCAAGCAAGAGTAGGTTTCTTACAATAGTTTAGTTGCTTTCCAGAGAAAAATAACAGCAAAGCTAGTGGTAAGTTTCCCCTTGAGGGCTAGGATTTACATTTTATCCACACCAGGGGCTCATCAATGACACTGTGGGTGCTTTCTTACAACAGTTAGCTGACAGGATAATAGTTGGGGGGGGGTAGGGGATGGAACAGGAGTAATAAGCAAAGATACTAGTCTAAAAAGATGAAGTGGCCAGCTCATAATCAGACAGCCAAAAAAAAAAAAAAAATGGCAATGTGTAGATGTGGCTCCACACCATGTACTTTTAGTAGAGATCACAAAAGAGAACCATCTTGGGGTTCTGCAAAACTCAACCTTTAACTTCTAGGAAAGGCTTTCCTATGTTGACATCTCACGTTAAAAAGACCAATTGATTGTTCTGTGCCAGCCTAATTAATCCCTAACATTTCAACAATAATTCATTATTTGGGGAGGCAGGAACTAATTCTATGATCAAGAGTAGGCTCATGATCAAAAACTAAAAATTCTACAAGAAACCTATATCACAGCACAAAGAGTAAACACCTCACAACTTTTCCCTTTCTTTCACTTACCATCCATATCATCCAAGCATCCCAAGATACAGCTCTGAAGATGCAAAGCAAAAGAACCCCACCCATTGCCCAACACAGAATTCAATCACAGTATTTCAGTACTGGATCTGTCAGTTTAACCTCCCAGCAAAGACCTCTAAAAATGAGTTTGATCTACTTACAATGACCAATCAACACAAAGATGGAGTAGAAACTATATACTTGAGGACATATGCATGAAACATAAAGTTCTTCCTATTAACAGCTTCCTTCTGTCTCCCCCAACTCAGTAAGCTAGGCAGAACACACAACACAAAGACAATCACTTCCATATGGATGTCCGTCCTTGTCAGTAATAACTATAGTTCAAGACTGTTCAAGTGTACTTAAAGTTAACTTTAAGAAAAGCAAGCACTGAAGTCCGAGCTTGCCCGGGTAGCCTGGTGAGGGATATTTACACCCACAGTCTTTGAATTTGATCAGGTAAACAGTTCTAAAACTTATCTACTCCATTCGGTATTCTAAACTAAGTTGGTACAACTGACTTTAATAATTGTTTCCTTCTGTTCATAATGGCATTTGGAAAGGCAAGAGAGTGGTGTGCTTAAGTCTCTGAACTATGTATTTTGCTAACACCCAGTCCAGTTCTATCTTGAGCAAACCTGAGAAATGTCATAAAGCCATATACTGTTTTCAAGGCCAAGGTAAAAAGGAAAAGTTAAACTGACTGTAACTTAGACACTATGGTAGTATGAATAAGAATGGCTACCATAGGCTAGTAGATTTCAATATTTGGTCACTAGGGAGTGGCCACTAGTTGAAAGGTAGGAGGTGTGGCCTTGTTGGGGTAGGCGTGGCCTTGCTGGAAGAAGCATGGCACTGGCAGGGGGGTGCTTTGAGGTTTTGGAAGCCAAAGTTAGACCAAGTCTCTCTTTTTTTTCCTGTTACCTGCCGATCCAGATGTAGAACTTCCAGCTACTTCTCCAGCACTATGTCTATCTGTATGTTGCTATCCTTCCCACCATGATGACAATGATTTAACTCTTTGAAACTGTAGGCAAGCCCCATTCAAATGCTTTCCTTTATGAGAGGTGCCATGGCCATGGTGTCTCTTCATAGCAATAGAACACTAATTAAGACAGACATACTATTGCTAGCACTGAAAACAATCCATCTCTTGTCATTTCCCAAACTACACAGCTGTACAGAATTCTTTCCCTCCAAGCCACCAGGAGTCCCATTCAGAAGGCTAACAGGTGATGAAACCCTAGTTTCTGTCATCCTTCTGTTCAAATGACATCTTTTAAAATGTTATATTCATTTGTGAGTTTAGCATGGCGGTTAAGTGTCACGGTGTGAATGTGGAGTTCAGAGGACAACTTTCAGAAGCTGATTTTCTCCTTCTACTATGTGGGGTTCTGGAGTCTGAACTTGGGGTCATCAGGCTTGGTGGCAAGTGTACCAACTGAGCCATCACCTGTCCAGAAACATTTTAAAAACACTTTACTGCCATGTAAAGTGCATCAAAATTATGTTAGCTACCAGGAAGCAGCCACCTACACAATATTGGACAATGCACTTAAGTCCCTTATACTGATTCATGCATTCCTAAGAACATGTAATGTTATTACCCCTTTCAAGGGGAAAAAACAAGCTCAGAGGTTAAGTAAGATGCACAAGCCTTCAAAACCAGACAAAGAAAAGGTAAGGATCTAAACTCAAATTTACATAATTACAGAAGTGAATTTCTTCTAAATTGTGCTCCCTCCCAATGTAACAATAAAGGAATGGGAAGAGTTATGAATAAATTTGCTCAGCAATTTAATAGTCTCAACAAGGGGGAGTGTGAGGGACAGATTTCTAAACTGCAATCTTTTTTTGTAAGTCCACAGTGTACCATCTAAACCCCACTTATCTTCAAGAACAAATCAACAAATTAAAGAGTTTTTAAAGCTGGGAAAAGTGATAAAAACCTGTTATCTAGCCTTAAAGAAACTGAGGCAGGGAAGCCTTGAGTTCAAAGCCAGCCTACACTGCAAGGCAAGCAAACCATAACTTAAAAAAAAAAAAAAAAAAAAAAAAAAAAAAAAAGGCTAGGCCTTTAATTCAAGCACTCTGGAGGCAGGTGGATCTCTGTGAGTTCAAGGAGTTCAACACCAGCCTAGGCTCCATAGTGAGACCCTATCTCAAAAACTCGAGAAGACTCAGCAAATTCTCCTAAACTAAATTTCACCACAGATGTGCAAGCTAATTAATCATTTTGTACAATGCCTAAGAATTAATGAGTCCTGTGTACATATCAGTAGCCAGTAAAGATCACTTCATCCAAATCAAATGAAACCTTAATGCCAAATGCTAGAAACCTTTCTAGCAAAGACAGTACATAGAAAATACTACCCACCATAGTCCTTAAGGGAAAAAAAAGACTAGAAAAGACAATTTATACTATATACAGTCTCCATTTAGTGGAGCAAATTAAATTCTAAGAAGCCCTAAAACAAAAGCATGTATTGTCGCATGTTATCATAGTCCAGGGAAGGGAAGCAACTGGTGGCATGTATCACCACACCTTATCACAGTTCAGGGAAGGGAAGCAACTGGTGTCCTGGTCACCGATTTTGTAGGCAATTATGTATATACTATGTAACTCCCTAATAACTTCCAACTTCTGCCAACCTCCTTTCCCTCACCACACCCACCCACAATAGGAAAACTAAGCACAAAGACTGTGAGTCCTGGATTCCTGTGACTTAAGACTATTTTCCCCTGGTTTCATCAGGTAAACAAAGCTGGATTTCAAGAAAAGCCAAACAAACCAAAAAACCCAAGCAACACTTCTCCACGTTAGTCACATATAAAACAAAGCAAAATGTCCTTTGGAGCATTTTTCAAGGAAAACTTTAACAAATGCCAATGAGATACAACTGAAATTAACATGAAATGACATGGTCATTGTGTTTCAAAATGAATGATAGGATCCTTAAGCTAGTTCCACTTTGAAACTAAAACAGAATTACCATCACAGCTTAAATTCATCCAGTCAACGAAATGTAATGGAAGGAATCCACCCAAAACTTAAGAAGTCAAGTGCTTAAAGCAGTTTGTAAATCCCCAAGAAATGAAGGTGTTCGAAAGTGACACCGATTTATCTCGTAGTCATCTCAACTCATGGGAACTCCTTTACAGACAATGGGTGACCTTTCAAGAACTGGAGTGCTTCTCCTGACCCTGGCAATCCAAAGGTTAAAAAAAAAAAAAATGAATAAGCGACTTCTGGAAATAAAAGGGGTTAAGGTGGTCAGGGTAGTAACCAAAAATGGCACATTACTTTGGCAATAAACTCTCAAAATTATTATGGAGTGGAATAGCGAAGATGGAACACTAAAAGGTTGCTCAATCCAATTTTCATTGTGAATTCCTGAAAAAAAAAAACAGTAGAGTCTAGCAACTTAATGTGAACCAGTCTCTCGGCTGTACGATGGGGTGGGAAAGTGAGTACACACTTTCTCAACGTAAAGAAAGCCGAGGGTTTTCCCAATCAATAATTTTATGCGTCTCGCGAGTCCTGGTTACCAAAAGCATCGACTCGTTTTCAAGTGCAAGCGCCTGCACTAGGGCTCGGTGGGTGAGGAGCCGAATGCACAGTCCCCGGAGCATCGGCCGCGCCCCCGTAACCCCACCCTGGGAGAAAGCGCGGAAAAGCCCCCGAAGGCGGCCGGGACGCGCGGTGTTTACCCCGCTCGGCTGCCCCGGGGAGCTCGTTCCCGTGGTCACAGACAGTCGGGGCGGCGCGCCCTCGGAGGAAAGCCACTGAAGCGGGCAGCCGGAGAACGAGGACCCGAGGAGGCTGGGATCGGCGGCCGCGCCACCCACCCCAGGGCCGCGGATGCTACGGAGGAGGGTCCGCCACCCGCGTCGCGCCCGCGCGCCCCCGAGCCCCGCAGCTCGCGCGCGCGGCCGAGGGCAGCCGAGGGGGAGGGGCGGCTGCGCGCGCGCCCCCTCCTCAGACGCCCAAACTTCCCTCAACTCTCTCAACTAAGTTACGCTCTCACCGTGCGGCTCCCCGGGCTCCCCCGCGGGCCGAGCCGGAGCAGCTCCGCTCCTTGGCGGCGAAGAAGGACAATAGGCGGCCGCTCCTTCGGCGGCGGCTGGGGCGAGGAGCAAGCACCGCGGCGTCCACCGAACCCAAGCACTTAGCAGCGGCTCCTCCGACTCCGCGACCGCCCTGCACACACAGCCCGGCCCACCCGCGCATGCGCTGCCTGCGGACCGGGAGTAGGCGGGGCAACTGGCCAAACTTAAGAATTAGGATTTGACCGTTTGCCTGCCCATCAGGTTGTGTGTACCCAATAGGAAGGCTTTCTGGCTGTTGGCTCCGGTTGCTAAGGAACGGTGAGGTTGACCGACACTGTTGCCAGGAGGCAAAGTGATCAAAGTCGGGTGGCTGGCAACAGCTGCTGGGGAAATGCCCACCCACCTTCTCCTATCCGCCCCATCTCCGGAAGCCGCCCTTCCTCCGTGCTCCTGGTGCTTACCTAAGTCGGAACACTTACCACACAATGTCAAAAGTTACTGTGGTGTTTCACTTCCAATCAAGAAAAAGGGTCTTAGTGTCCAAGGTGCAGCAGCGACAGGTACTCAACAAGTGGGTTGGATGGGTGGATGGCTCATTGATGAAATGGATGTTGTCACAGTGTATCTTGTGACTTTGCGCTACTCCGTCACCACAAAACCTTGCCTTTGAGTTGCTATGGACTTCAGAAATTGTCTAGTGACTTCGGAGAAACAAAATACAGCCATGTGCCCAATGGTGACCCGAGTTTATATTAATTGATACAAAAAGAAACTTATTCTAATAGTTACATATCGTAATGTGTTATTATGGCAAAACACGCCTATCATGGCAAACCATTTTGACAGTTGTTATTTCTTCGGTCAATAGGCCAGGCGGTGGTGGCGCACACCTTTAAGCCCACACTCGGGAGGCAGAGGCAGATGGACCTCTGTGAGTTCGAGGCTAGCCTGGTACACAGAATGAGTTCCAGGAGTATTACCCAAAGAAACCTTATCTCGGGGTGGGGGGAGGCCTGGGTTGTATAAATATGAAGCAAGAAATGTGAGGTTTTCTGTGCATCTCAAAATTAATTTACATTGATTAAAGTGAGGACGGTGATTTCCTGAGGAGAGAAGGGAGAGAAGGGTATTGACTGGGAAGGAACAGGACAGAGCCCCTGAAGTACGGGCTCTGTAGTTTGATCTCCGTGATAAAAACTTATGAAAATGTCATGCAGCTGTACCCCCAGATGAATACCCCTTCGGAGGGCGGGGCTTATGAGGAGCCATTGACAGTTGATTGCTGCTGGGGAAGGGGAAGTGAGTTTCCTTTAAGGATTGGACCCCCTTTGGTCAGCCATGCCTCAGTAGGTGGCCCCAGGCCCGTGCATGTATGAGCAGCACGAATTGAACACAGTGAGTTATAATTTTTTAAAGAAAAAAAAGTAAGAGGTTGAGAGGGGAGCTGGAGACATGGCTCAGCAGTGAAGAGCACTGACTGCTCTTCCAGAGGACCCGGGGTTCAATTCCCAGCACACACATGGCAGCCCACAGCTGTCTGTAATTCCAGTTCCAGATTTAATACCTTCACATCAATGCAGATAAAACAAATCATTAAAATAAATATGATGTGCCGGGTGATGGTGTTGCACATCTTTTTTTTTTTTTTTTTTTGAGAGGGATATCCTGGGTGAATATGATCAAAATTTATGAATGTTTGTGTGAAAAGATTAATCTCATTACTAAAGTCAGTATTTTAAAAATACTAGTACAAGACACAGACATGAAAATCACTGCCGTTGGAAAGTTTTGATTCAGGCAAACTCAGAACCACCACCCACATCCCCATACCTAATGGAGGATATTATGAATACTGGATGATTGTTCCAGGCATTTCTCTTGTTAAATGGCTCTTTCCTATAAAAAAAAAAAAAAACAAACAAACAACAACAACAAAAACAAAAACTCTTTGCTAATTGAAAAAAAAATCTTCATACAATATATTCTGATCATGTTTTCCACTCTCACAATTCCTCCCATACCCTCCCCACCTCACTACCCACCCAACTTTATGTTCTTTTTTCTTTCTTTTAAAAACAAAAATAAAAAGTAAGATACAAAAATGGAAATCAACCAAAACACAAATAAAAGCACCCCTCCAAAAAAAAAAAAAAAGTCAAAACAAAGCAAATGATAGCCCAGGACCACTTCCCCCTCTCAGTGCTGGGACAACTTCTGGCTTGAACCTGTGCAAATCTTGTGTGTACTGCCACAGTCTGCATGAATTCATATGTAAATCAGTCCTACTGATTCTGGAAGTCAGTTTCCTTGGAGCCATCCATCACCTCTGAGTCTTAATCAAACCTTCCTGAGTCTTGTGGGAGGGATCTGATCAAAACATCCAGTTAGGACTGAATGCTACTTTCTACACATCATGCACTTGTGGATGTCCGTGTTAATTCCCACCTACTACAAAGAGAAGCTTCTCTGATGTAAATTGTGGCAGGCACTGATGTCATTAGGAGTCATTTTGTTAATATATCCCTTTATCAGAATGATAATAGTAGGTTTTCCCTAGACCCATGGCGCATCAATTTGAGGTTCTTAGCCACTTTAGCAGTGTAGATATGGAGTTCCATCTCATGCTTGGTTGCTCCCATAACATTTGTGCCACTATTAAACTAGTATGTCATGTATGCAGTTCACTGTCGTAAGTCACAGGTTTTGTAGCTGGGTAATGTTAATAATTACCTTTCTCTTACAGTATCATGCAGAGTACATTCTAGTACCATGACAGCTAATCAATGAAGGTGAAGCTTCTAGTTAGGCAATAGCTCAGCCCTTCCATGTTTGATGATAGAAGTAAATATTATCTTCAGCAATATAGCCTTATTATCAGGTTATGGAGAGGAATCTGAAGCATTGAAAATAGCCTGTGATGTTTTGGGATTTCCATGGGGCCCCTTTGGCCAACGGCTCAACAAGATATCACCTATTCCTAGCACTGGAAGTTTTTCTTAGTGGCATAAGATGTCTAGTTGTCTCCCCTATTTAATAAATCCACTTAGATTCCTTTCAAACATGAATATATTTTAGGAAGCTTCTACAGTAGTAGGTTTTCACACTGGTTTGTCAAAAGTCCTTTAGTAGTAGTTGTCCCTCCCCATAGTCCCTCCTTTACCCTTGTCTCTTGTCCCCTCCCAATTAAATCCTCCTAGTTTCTCGATTTGTTTCTCCATAGAAATCCCCCTGTTCTTGAGACAGCCTCTTCTTCCCCCAGTCCCTTGCTTGGTATCTAAACTCTGTGGTTATTTGGGTTATAGCACACATGTTGAGAGCTGAAAAGCTAACATCTACATATGAGAGAAAACATACAATATTTATCTTTTGGAATAGTTACCTCACTTGAGATTTCTTTTTCTAGCTCTATCCATTTACCTGGGAATTTTATGGATTTTTAATAGCTTTTAATAGCTGAATAATATTCCTTTGTGTAACTGTATCACATTTTCATTATCCATTCATCAGTTGGTGGACATCTATGCTATTTCTAGTTTCTAGATATTATGACTGGAGCAGCAATGAACATGAATGAGCAAGTATTTCTGTAGTAGGATGTAGAGTCCTTTGGGTATGTATCCAAGAATAGTGTAGCTGGATCTTGAGGTAGATTGATTTCCACCTTCCTGAGAAACCACCACACTGATTTCCATAGTGGCTAGACAAGTTTGCACTCCCACCAGCAATAAATGTTACCCTTTCCCTGAGTCATTGACAGCATGTGCTTTATTTTATTGATCTTGGCCATTCTGACTGGTATAAGATGAAATCTTAAAGCACTTTTAATTTGCATTTCCCTTATGATGCACATGTCTTTAAAGGTTTCTCAGCCATTTGTGTTTCATTTTGTGGGAGCTTTCTGCTTAGTTCTGTACCCCACTTTTGAATTGAATTATCTGTTTCTTGATTTTTTTTTCTTTACATATTTTAGATACTAAACCTTTATCAGATGTCTAATTGGTAAAGATCTTTTTCCATTCTATAGACTGCTGCTTTGCCCATATGATGGTGTACTCTATCACACAGAAGTTTCTCAACTTCATGAGGTCACATTTATTTATCAGTGTCCTGTTCAGAAAGTTTTCCTCTGTGCCAATGAGTTCAAGACTGTTTCTCCATGTTCTCTTCTATCAGATTCAGGATAGTGGATCTTACGTTGAGGTCCTTGATCTATTTGGAGTTTTCTGCAGAGTGATAGATAGGGATCTATTTTCATTCTTCTACATGCAGTCATTCAGTTTGAGTAGCACTATTTGTTGAAGATGCTGCCTTCTCTCTAGTATATACTATATATTCAACATAATCTCCAACACAATTCTTCAGAGAAATTGAAAATACAATCTTCAACTTTGTATGGAAACACAAAAAAGTCAGAATATCTAAAACTTTCTTGGATGTATTCTTTTTATTATTAAGAATTGCTATCAGTAGGATATCTATTTTCACAATATTAATCTTACTGATCCATGAGCATGAGAGAATGTTCCATCTTCTGATGTCCTCTCCAATTTCTTCATTCAATGCCTCAAAGGTTTTATTGTACAAGTCTTTCACTTTCTTGGTTAGAATTACCCCCAAGATCTTCTCTTTTTGTCTTTTAGTGAGTCTTTTAGGCTTTGTCAATTGTATTGATTTTCTTCAAGCTCCAAGAACCAACTCTTTCTTTGTTGATTCTTTGAAATTTTTTTGTTTGTTTTATTTCTGATTCAGTGATTCAGCCCTGAGTTTATTTCTTTTCATCTATTTTTTAAGGTATTAATTCTTGTTCTAGAGATTTCAGATGTCCTGCTAACTTACAAATATGAGAACTCTCAATTTTTCTTTTTCAAGTAGGCACTTAGTGCTGTGAACTTGCTTCTTAGAACGCCTTCATTGTGTCCCATAGGTTTGGGTATGTTATGTTTTCATTTTCACTCAATTCAAAAAATGTTTTAGTTTCCAGTTGATTTCTGTCTTGACCTAATGAGCTATTCGGTTTTCCTGACTTTGTATAATTTCTGCTGTCTCTGTTGTTGCTGATATCCAATTTAATCCATGGTGGTCAAATAGAATATAGGGTGTTATTTCAATTTTTTTTAACA